TGGGTGGGTGGGCTGTTTGCGCGAGCAGTGGAGGTGGTCAAGCGCGGTGCAGGGTAGTCAATTGCACAACATAGTGACCACGTAGATTGCACGGCGTATATTGCACCACGCAGACGGCACACATTGATTGCACCACACATATTGCACCACACATGATGGACCACATATATTGCGCACCACATAGACTGCACCACACGAATGGCAATACAGATGTTGCACAACTTCGATTGCATCCCACACATCTATCGCACCACATATATTGCACCACATTTATTCTCGTTTGTAAGAAAAGAATAGACTCTACCCACCCCCCTTCGGGAGTTAACGGTCCCCCTAGGGTATTGCGATTTCGTACTTTTTCTGCACGCCCGTCCATCCTAAGTATGAATATGACTTCGTACTGTCCCAGCCAGGCCGGCATCATTCCCCCCCATTCTCTGCAAAACATGCTATGCGCGCACACTCGTTTATCAAAAACCATAAATGTTCAATTACCCCTTGTACAAAAAAAACAGAACGGAGTCCACACGCGCGCGTCTGCGCGCGAGCATGCCGAAATCCTTCAAAAACAATTGGTGTCGGATGGATTTCAAAATCTAGTATCTCAAACACATACAAAAACACATGGTTTCGCAATACGGGTGTTCTAGAAAAGCTTACGCGCGCGCTCTTGCGAAATCTTAAGAAAACAATGCGTTTTCAATATTTCAAAAATAATATATATATATATATTATATAATATATATATATATATAAAAAAAAAATTACCAAAGGGTGTTCGCGCGCGCATGTCGAGATCGTTCGAACGCCCTTGCGCGCGTGCCGTCGCGAGAATCAAAAAAATTTGGCGAAGTCCACGCGCGCGCGTCGTCGCGCGTGCATGCATGCCGAAATCCTTCAAAAAACCTTCGGTTTCGGAAGGGTTTCAACATCGAGTGCCCAAAAACCATACGAAACACGTGGTTTCGCAAAACGGGTTTTCAACAAAAGAGTGCGCGCGCGTTCTTGCGTCGTCGTCGTCGCCGTCCTCCCTCCTCCCTCGTCGTCGTAGTCGCCGTCGTCGTCATCTGTCTTTCCTCGTCGTCATGGTCGTCCTCTTTGGCGTCGTCGTCGTTTCCGTCGTCGTTGTCGCCGTGGTCGTCCTTCCTCCTCCCTCGTCTTCGTCATCGTCCGTCGTCGTCCCTCCTACTTCGTCGCCGTCGTCGTCTTTGCGTCGTCATCGTCGTTGTCGCCGTCATCCCTCCTCCTTCGTCGTTGTCGCAGTCGTCGTCCTCCCTCCTCCCTCGTCGTCGCCTTCGTTGTCGTCTTCGTCGTCGTCTTCGTCGTCGCCGTCGTCGTCGTCTTCGTCGTCGTCGTCATCGTCGTCGTCATCGTCGGCGTCGGCGTCGTCGTCGTCGTCGGCGTCGGCGTCGTCGTCTTCGTCGTCGTCGTCATCGTCGTCGACGGCGTCGGCGTCGTCGTCGTCGTCGTCGGTGTCGTCGTCGTCATTGTCCTCGGTGTCGTCGTCGTCGAAGTCGTCGGAGTCGTCGTCGATGTCGTCGGCGTCGTCATCGTCGTCGTCGGCGTCGGCGTCGTCGTCGTCGTCGGTGTCGTCGTCGTCATTGTCGTCGGTGTCGTCGTCGTCGAAGTCGTCGGAGTCGTCGTCGATGTCGTCGTAGTCGTCGTCGCTGTCGTTGTCGGCGTTGGTGTCGTTGCCAAATGCCATTTGTTATCTACCGTCACGATCTTAGGAGGTCTTGCGGCCACGTTGCGGGTGGGAGGGTGGGATGTTTGCACGAGCAGTGGAGACGACAGCTTCAAGGCAGTTAAAGTGAATTCTCCTTTCTAAAAAGAGAATAGACGCCCCCCCCCCAGACTTATCAGCTCCCCCTATATATTCTGCACACTCGTCCATCCTAAATATGAAATCGTATCATCCCAGCTAGGCCGGGCTCCCCCCCCTGAGGTTCCCCTGTTTCACGAATCCCTTGCAACAAATGGGACGAAGTGCACACGCGCGCGTCGTCGCGCGCGCATGCCGAAATCCTGCAAAAAAACTTCGGTGCCGGAAGGATTTCGCAATCGAGGTTCCAAAAAACATGCAAAAATACATGGTTTCGCAACACTGATTTGCTAAAAAAGCTTCCGCGCGAGCTCTTGCGAAATCTGAAGAAAACCATAGGTTTTTCAAGATTTTCACAAAATGCTACCAAACGGGCTTCGCGCGCGCGCATGTCGAAATCTGTCGAACGCCCTTGCGCGTGTGCCGTCGCGAGAATCCTCTACAAAAAACGGGACGAAGTGCAGACGCGCGCGTCGTAGCGGGCGTATGCCGAAAACCTTCAAAACCCGTCGGTTCCGGAAGGATTTCAAAATCGCACGTCCAAAAAACCTACAACAACCCAAGGTTTCCCAACACGGACTTTCAACAAAAGCGTGCGCGCGCGCTCTTGCGTCGTCGTCGTCGTCGTCGTCGCCGTCCTCCCTCCTCTCGCGTCGTCGTCGTCGTCGCCTACGTCGTCCTCTGTCTTTTCTCGTGTTCGTCGTCGTCGTCCGCTTTGGCGTCGTGGTCGTTTCCGTCGTCGTTGTCGCCGTGGACGTCCTTCCTCCTCCTCCTCCCACGTCGTCGTCGTCGTCCGTCGTCGGCGTCACGTCGTCGTCCCTCCTATTTCGTCACCGTCGTCGTCGTCGTCGTCGTTGTCGTCGTCGTCGTCTTCCCTCCTCCCTCGTCGTTGCCGTCGTCGGCGTCGCCGTCCTTCCTCCTTCTTCGTCGTTCGCGTCGTCGCCGTTCTCCCTCCTCCCTCGTCGTTGTCGTCGTTGTCGCCGTCGTCGTCCTCCCTCCTTCCTCGTTGTCTTCGTTGGCGACGTCGTCTCGTCTTCGTCGTCGTCGTCGTCGGCGTCGTTGTCGTCTTCGTCGTCGTCGACGTCGGCGTCGTCGTCGTCGCCGCCGTCGTCGTCGTCGTCGTCGTCGGCGGCGTCGTTGACGTCGTCGTCGTCGTCGTCGTGTCGTCGTTATCGTCGTCGTCAGCGTCGTCATCGTCGTCGTCGTTGTCATCGTCGTCGTCGTCGGCGTCGGTGTCGTCGTCGTCGTCGTCGGTGTCGTCGTCGTCGTCGTCGTCGTTGTCGGCGTCGTCGAAGTCGTTGGAGACGTTGTCGGTGTCGTCGTAGTCGTGGCCGGCGGCGTCGTCATCGTCGTTGTCGCTGTCGTCGTCGGCGTCGCTGTTGTTGCCAAGTGCCATGTGGTACCCACCGTCACGGTCTTAAGAGATTTTGCAAACCAAGTTGCGGGTGGGTGGGTGAAATGTTTGCGCGAGCAGTGGAGTGGACAACTCACTGCGAACAGAAATTAATTGCACCTCATAGATTGTACCACAGAGATTACTCAACGACTTTTGCACAGCATATGTTGCTAGAAACACACTGCTTGGGGTCCACGCTGGCTGCCATAAAACTATTGATTAAATTTACTCTGTATGGCCCTGGTGAGGCATCTCTCCATTGGGGGGAACGTCTTTCAGGGACCTACGGCGAGTGAGCTTTGAGGGAGGGTTGATTGCAACATCGCTGATACGGTTTGGATCTACGCTGGTCCTCCTCCTGCTGCTCCTCCTCCTCCTCCTCCTCCACACCCACCTCCTCCTCCTCCTCCTCCTCCTCCTCCTCCTCCTCCTCCACAGCCAACTCCTCAACAGCCACCTCCTCCTCCTCATCCTCCACAGCCACCTCCTCCACAGCCACAGCCACCTCCTCCTCCTCCTCCTCCTCGTCCCTCGGACATCGACCCTCGCACCTCGCCCTTGCGCGGTCTGGCCAAGGTCTCGGGGCGGATCCCGCCGCGGCCGCGAGGGCTCCCCCTGGGGCCCGAAACAGGGGCGCGCAAAATGATACTTCGACGCCGCGATGCTCAATCCTCGACGCTCCTCCAGACAGACCCAACAACCAACGTCCTGATATTTTCAATGTGGGTCGCTGGAACTCCGACCCGCTCCCCAGGAGTGGCTTAGGTCGGGCGTCCTCCTGCAGGCGGACTTTGGACGAAAAACAAAAAAGATACATAATTTCCACACATAGTCAAACATAATTTAATAAATCGTCCCCAGACTATGTTTAAAACCATTTTTGAATATTCCTCCTGTTGAGGGACGTGCCCGACTTTGAGACTGGCTTCCGCATCCTGAATTGTGCTTGGCGGCCCCCTGGGCGTGGTGCTGGGCCCCCCCCGCGGCTGCGAGCGGCGAAGAGGAACCTTCGTTCTGCTTCTGCTCACGACGCTGGACGTCTGGGGGCGAGCCCTTCCCTTGGGGGGGGAGGGGGGAAACATCCATGACATGCCCTGAGCTCCTGGCGTTTATTTTTTTGTTTTCGAGCCGGGCCTGGCGTTTTTGCTTTTTTTTCGGGCCGCGGGACCCTCACAAGTCGATCCGGCTCGAAAAATGACGTAGAACAATTGGGTCTAGGGCACTGGGCGTGCTTTTTACGATGTTGCATTTTCTTCGCTAAGTCGGATCTCCGGGCGCCGCGCCGGGGGACCCATCAGTGCGTTACCTTTGACGAAAAAGCGGTTGTTCGGGCAAAAGCGAAGGAGCAACACGCTGAGGGGCTCCCAGCGGCAGTGTATCATTGATATGTTCCCTCCCGATTCTCCCAATCCCGACGTCACGATCGTTTCACAACGTGGACCCCAGGAGGTCTCGACCCATTCACTGAGACCGGCTTTTCATCCCGAGTCTTTTTGTTGATCGGCCGGGGGCCTTGTGAGGGTCTGTAGAGTCGGCGGCGAACCCTGGGAGGAAAGGGGAAGGGGCGGGCCTTCTCAAAAGGCTCGGAAGTCCCCCGGCTTTCCGAAAACAAATGTTTTCAGCCTTCCCCGGAAACACCTGAACTTCTCAGAACGCCGCAGCGCTTCTGAGAAACCCTGCCGCCACTGAAAAGGCCTCCTCTTTCTCACTTGCCCCCCTCGCCCGCCGCCGACAGGGGCCGAAAACAGCAAGACCCCTGCCGTCTCTCCCGGTCGGGCGCGCCTCCTTGGAGCGCCGGCCCTTGCGCGTTCCCCTGGAAACCTCGGCGGAAACGGTCGGGGAGTATGTCTCCTCGCCGCAGGCGCGCGCACGAGAGAAAACGCGAACCAACAACTACGGTTACCTCTCGTCTCGCCTGTGACACCGCTACCTCGACCGATTCGTCACGAGCATACTGTAATGTTTTGAACCTCCATGACTAGTTGTTTCTCTGCGAATCACCGCCTGTCTCAAAACTCCGGCTACGGAGAGCACAAAGCCTGCCCCTGCCTGCCAGGCCCGGTGTCGAATCCTGGACGAGGGCCGCGAGACAAATGCATGTGTCACGGAGTCGGTGCCAAAACGGCCTCACGAGGCGGAGAAGGACAAGACCAGAAAAATAAATGTAAAAAGTGGCACGTGTGAAGGCGGAGCTTTTCTATCAGCGAAAAATCGCCGAAGGCGATTTTACGGCGGGCGCGCCAGGTTGCAACCCGTTAAAGGCAGCGCCAATGGAGGGTCGAAATGGGCAGAGCTGGTACCGTTCGAATGTGGTGCTCAAGCCCGTCCGCCGTGCCCTCGTTGGTCTCCCATGCGCAAGACGCACATGAAACCACGGCGTGAAATTATGCTGGGGTGCTTTGCTGGCCGCACCCGTAAGAGAAAATGGCCAGTCTGCCGCGAACAAGAGATTAGTGGTGGAGCAGGGCGGGGCAAACCGGGAAACGGCCGCATTGGATCCCCAACTTGCTCCGCTCACCTGCGTGCTCGACGTCCTCATCACTCTCGACCGTCAATGCCCGCGAACTTGGCGATCTCGCGGCTGCTTTGGTCGGCCGATCGGCCGACCAGTGTACTGGTCAGCGGAATTCCGGTGGTCGACCTTATGACACAATTACACGAGTCGCCTCTTCACTGATGGGTGAAGGAACTGCGCTGGAAGCACGGGGTGGTCTTCTTTGTCTCGTTGCTGAATTTGACCGCTTCATGGTCGTAGCTGATCTGGCTGTCCATCACACTGAGGATAAGGTCCCAGCCAATGCTGCCCTCGGTCACGAGGTCGGCCAGCATGTCCCAAGTGTCGCGCCAGAGTAGGTCCTAGATCTGCTTGGTGCTCAGCCGGTCGGCTAACCATCGCAGGTGGCCTGCCGCGCTGTTCTCGAAGGCGGCCACGCCATGCCCATGGGCGGACATGTCGTCGATGACGACATCTGCAAGGACCGCGTGGTCTCCTTCCTCCCTCAGCCTCTTGATTTCCTCTGCAGAAGCGGCGCCGTGCGCCATCTCGAACGGCGCGAGGTGGCGTGCCTTCAGTCCGTCGGCTGCGCCGCATGTTCGAGCAGCTCCGTCCCAAACGAATGACGCACCTGTTTGCCCTCGCGGCGGCACTTGCCGAAACGCGCGTGCACTTTCCCTCGTGCCGCGCTCTGTCTCCTCCTCCAGTTTGGGCGACCCGTCGCTGCGCGCGCTGAATCGCCTGGCGCGCGCCATAGCTTGCAATTTAACGCGCGTCTTCGTCTTCTGCGTGGCCAGGACGACTAAGTAGAGCTGCGTCGCGCGCCGGGGGGGCAGCTTGTTCTTCGCTCTCCCTAAGGCGACGATGCGCGCGGCGACGATGCGCGCGGCGACGAGATGCTGGGCGAGCAGCGCATAGGCCGCTGCTCCGAGGAGGGAGACGAACAGGTCTGGGAGCTGACCTCCTGCCAGCTCGTCCGACTGGGCCTTGACCAGGTCGATGTTGCCTGATCGGTATCAAGGCGTGGATGTACTCGTCCTACTCGAGCGTCACGGTGGCAGCGGCACTGCGGTGCTGGTGCACCCCGCAGTTGGTGGCATCGTCGCAGTCACCTTTCATTTTGCCGAAATCGCCCTCGATGTGGCTGATCAGCCAGTCGACGTGCTCCTTGCGTCCAGCGATCTCCAGGTCGTAGACGTGCATGGAACGCGCGAGCACTAGCACTGTGCCGCTGGTGCCACAAGCACCAGACGTCTCGCGCGTGACCCACGCGAATTTCGCAGAGAAGGCGCGGGGCGCGTCCTTGCAACCCGTGCCGGGCTTGCTGCGACGCAAGCGCCAGCCTGCTCGTCGTAGCTCTCGTAGCTGGGCGCCTGCCTGAGACTGGAAGCGCTGCTGGGTGGCAAGGTGAACTTCACCTCGCGTGGCGCTTCACCTTGTTCCTGCGCCTCGGAGTAGGTCGCGCCTCGCAGGAACACCTGCTCGACGTCCACGGCGACGCGTGCCCGGTCTGGGCGACGCGCAGCCTCTGCGGGCAGCAAACGCTGCGACGACCGAGTTGCTACGCCGGCGAACGTCTCCAGGGCCCCAGCGCCAGCGTCGCAGAAATCTCTGAGCGACGCGCGGCGCCGGATGGCCCCGACAGTCTTGCCGTCCGATGCCTTCCAGTGCTTCCACTTGAAAACTTATCTGGCGCCCTTCGCGCTTCGGGCGCCCTTGCGCGGTCGCCTCTCGAAACGCGTGTACTTGACCCAGATGGTGAGCTCCTCGAAGATGACCGCTGTAACTTCCTTTGACAACTTCGACACTTCCTCGCTGGCCAGAAGGTCGGCGTCGCGCTTGATGACCGCGGTCTCGGCGGCGGCATGAAGTCTAAGCGCGGCTGTCTGGTGAGCGCTGGCAGCGCAGTCGCTGGACGCTTCCTTCTTGAAGTTCAAAGACTCTTCGCGCACCCATGGGTTGAGGTGCAACTCCGGATGCCTTCCTCCTTCGTCGTCGTCGTCCTCCTCTGCCTCCTCCTCGCTCCTCCTCCTCCTCCTCTTCTTCCTTTTCCTCCTCCTCTTTCTCCGCCTCCTCCGCCTCCTCCTCCTCCTCCTCCTCCTCCTCTTCCTCCTCCTCCCCTCCTCCTCCTCCTCCTCGTCTCCTCCTCCTCCTCCTCCTCCTCCCTCCTCCTCCTCCTCCCCTCCTCCTCTCTCTCTCCTCCTCCTCCTCCTCCTCCTCCTCCTCCTCCTCCTCCTCCTCCTCCTCCTCCTCCTCCTCCTCCTCCTCCTCCTCCTCCTCCTCCTCCTCCTCCTCCTCCTCCTCCTCCTCCTCCTCCTCCTCCTCCTGTCTCTCTCCAAAGGAAGTATCCCGCTGTCAGGGTTCAGAATTAGCTAGTCGATGACTTCCTCTTACAAGCCATAATTTAGCAATTTCCTCAGGCCATGTCGGCTCTAGTGGCCGCGTTGCAGCACAGACAGCTAGTAGTCATCTGGGACAAGACTGGTTACATGACCAGCTCGGTGGATCTTGACGATGACCTCAACCAGACGTGGAACCTCAGCTCTGGGCAAAGGCTCAGCAGCGGCAGGGTTATTGGCACAGATGCCAACAGTTGCGCTGCGCGAAGTGTCGCGGAGCAAAACAAAAAGGATGGCCAAAGAAGCCTCGGTATCATCACGTGATTTTGCCCTGAGGAAAGCGGGGGCAAGCGTCAGCACGATAAAGAGGGGCTCTCCTACGGCGACGGCGGTGTGGGGGGCGGCGGTCCCGGGCGTTGCTGACCTGAAGCTTGCTGCACTCAGGCTTGCCACTCTCAGAGGGGAAGGGCGGGTTCCTCCAGGTGTCTCGGTTGCTCTCAGGTTGCGTGTCACCCCCAATGGGGCCACCAGGGATCTCTGGGTTGTTGTGGTCTGTGATGTGATCAAGCATTGGGCGTTGGGTGTACAGTCTGTCTTGCCAGGGCTTGGCCCACTCCAGGCTTGCCTGCAGGAAGCGCATTGTCAGCTGGAAAAAGAGAGGCCTTGGTCACAAGTCGTTGACCCGTCTCTGGCTGCAGTTCTGTCTCTCGCCAGGATTGGCTGCACCTTGCCCTCTGCCGATGTGCTCTGGCATCCCAGGCTTGGGGAGTTCAACATTGCCGACTTCTCTCCTGCACTCTTTGTTGATATTGTCAGGCCTCTGGCGCTCCAGGCTTCAGACATTGTGGCATTGGAGAGACTCCAAGCCCCCTGGGTCTCCCCCTCAACTGGCCTCCCGTCGCTCGCCTCATCAATAGATACTTTGATGACAGCTGGTCGCAGCATCGTGCTGCTGCCATTCGGAGCCTGGTCGGTGGATCCCATTGGCCTCAAGCTCAGTTGCATTCTAGGGGTAAGGCTCAATCATATGCTTGCCTTCATTGTGGCACGAAAGGCACCTTGTGGAACCGCTTTTATGATTGCCCCATTGTCTCCAAGTCAGGCGAGGGGGAGTGCCCTCAGCATGTCACGCAGGCCGCCCAGTATGTGAGGCAGATCGGGGACGAAACTGGAGAGGTCATGGCCAGATGCCTCTTACCCTCCCCGACTCTCTGCTTCCCTTGCAAATAGGTACATCAGGAGGACCAGCTCAGGTTTGTAGGAGTTTTCCCTGGGTGAAGTTTTCGGGTGCTGTCTTTGCAGACGGCTAGGCGTTCCATTCCCGCCTCCAGGGTTTCAGTCGTGCAGGGTGGTCGGTCGTTCAGATTGGCCCAGCTGGCAGCTTGGTCGGCGCCATGCACGGCGCGGCGCCGCTCCGCGCGGCCCCAGGACAGGCGGCCCGGGACGGGGACGACCGGGGGTTCAGGATGCCCTCTCAATTTAGTGAATGGTCTACTGACCACCCGCTGGTTGTCCACGCGGATTGTTCTGGCACGTTATGTTGTGCGACAGATTCCAGCATTGCCCTCTCAGCCTCTAGCCCTCGTCGTCACATGTGGGGGGATTGGTGGAGTGGCATTGGCAGAATGGCCACTGTTTCTAAAGTCGAGGCTCACAGGAGCTTACGTGCAGCTACCTCGGATCAGGACGAATGACCGCTTAAAGGTAACGCTCTTGCTGGTAAATGGGCCAAGAGAGGAGCCCGTCTCTGGAACGTTCCTCAGGATCACCTTGGTTTTGTCTCGGAGTGTGAAAGGATTACCTCGGACATTGTCAAGTGGCAGAGCAGGTACCAGGAAGTTTTTGGAGAATTAGACCAGCCTGACTCGCAGGATCTTGTAGGTACTGCGGACATTGTCTTGGATGCGGATCTCCCCCCTGGTCTAATTCAGGCATGTTTAGATGAAGGTGTGGCGCCATTCGGGGATTGGACCTTAGCTGTGGAGGCTGAGCCTCCTCGCCCCGATCCTGGCCTTCCC